GTACCTTGCTACTGGTGACAAATTTTGAAACGGTGATTTCTGTGTTTCTTTTCCGAGTCTGCATCTGTGAGTTTAGGAGCTGTGCTTTTTGGGTTGTTTCTTTAATGTTTGATTGTGATGGTTGTACACTGTTGAATGAGAGTTTCGGAATGTAGGATTTTGAGCATTGTGGTTTCCAATCTAAGTGAGGAGGACTAATGGGTTTCAAGATAAAACTCTTCATGTGGCATTGATGTTGTGTACCTATCAAGTAGAGGTTCAAAGTCGATGGACATGAAAGGGATAAAAGAAATTTAAGATATAGGAGCCTACATTGCAATTAGATTACCAGAATGGAGAATTTGTACACTAGTGGGTTTTATAAAAAAAAATACTATATTCTACTGCATCGAAGTTAGAAATTTTATATGATTACTTTCTTAAGCTTACTTTGTGCTATTTTTGAGGCGTGTTAAGGTGCATTTTGTGAAATAATTAATTGCGTAAGGTGATTGTATCTATGTAAACACAAAGCCACTTTCATGGAATTGCAAAGCCTTTGAGCGTCAGGGTTTTACTGCCCGCTGATAAAAACCCAGATATCAAAGAGAGTTTTACTGCCTCACAATTTCTTGATTGTGAAAACTGCGTTCTGTGTTTTGGAGGTTTTAACGGGAAAGCATTTATACAGTTTGATGATGACACTTCAATGATTTCTTCCTAGTATCTAACGTGTTTCGTAGAAATGCAAGTGGTTCTAATTGCATTATGAATTAATAGACACAAGAGGGTGGTTCTTCTTTGTCTGATTTCAGTACACTGCAGACACAATTCTTTCACTAACTCATTCGTATTATCTTGCAAATAGCATTTGATATGACGATTATATTCTGGTTTCAGCTCTGCTTATGATCAAGGAACGTTTTGTGACATCTTTCACCCAAGGGCTTCCGGATGGAGGTGTTGTGAGTCATGTGGAAAGGTAAGGCATGGTTTATTGGTTTAAGTCTCTTTGGCATCACAATACCCTACTCAGGGTTTCCAGATATGAAGTCTCTCACTACTTAGCATTCCCTTGCAGCGAATTCATTGTGGTTGTATTGTTTCTGCATCTGCTTATGTGTTGCTGGATGCTGGAGGAATTGAGTGCTTGGCTTGCGCAAGAAAAAAAGCTCCTTTGGTGAGGGATGATTTCAGTTTTGTGTCCTATTATAGCATTCTATCCATTTATTTTCTTGGAGACGTGATAATACCTTTATCACTAATGGTTCAAAGTTCACCAACTGTCATAAATCATATATCTTAAGCTAGCAAACAAACTTCACCTGTAAAAAGATTTCTCAAGTTGAAGATTTATTATATGCTGTAGTCTGTGCTATAACAGTCTTTATTTCGTGTGTTTCAGGGACCCAATTTTGCATCACCACAGTCGTATTTTCTCCAGTCTCCAATCGCTGAGAAATTCAGGGACTTGTCAATCAATTGGAGTTCTTCAACCAGGTCAAATCCGCTAAGCTGCCAGCCTCCTAGTTTGTTAAGTCCTTCAGTTCTTCCGTTTGATTTGCATAATCGTGGAGATAGTTATGGATTTAGTCAACCTACTTCTAAAGACAGGGGAATGAGTGACTTGATTGGGAGATTAATGAGTGAAAACTCGAAAAATCACACAATCGGCATACTTAATAACCAGAAAACAGGTTCATGCTCTTATAAGAAGACTGTCATATTACTTTTATTGCAATCTCATTCCTGTTTTCAGGTTGAGAGGATTTCAAATTATTAGTTAAAGCAGAATGCTGAAAAGTGAATCTTTAATTGCAGGACCTAATCGTAAAGTACCTCCTTGTCCGAAAGCTAATGTATATCATCCACTGATCTCGTTAAAGGAGGGTCCATGTGGGACACAGATTGCATTTCCTGTGCCAAACACAACACCAATTGTGACAAATGGTCACTCGAGACAAGATGGAAGTTATCTACAGCATACACCTAATTTTTATCCGCTGAGTCGCGTACCCAGTGACTTGAATGGTGGAGCAGACTCAACATTTGAAAACAAGAGTTGGAATTGGGGAATTCATTTTGATACACCAGGAAAATATCAGGTGGTTCCACGATATTGGCCTAAGGGTTTACATAAAAGTCCAGATCAGCAGAATATATCTAAAGAGTATCCTTCTCGTTTTATGGAGACTATTGAATATAACTTTGTATGTTCACCTTAAGCATTTGAATCATACTTTTCTTTTTCATACTTCAGTTTTCTATTCCTCTTGCTTTTTTTCCTTCTAGTTTAAAGTCAAATTGTTTAAACTAGGTTGTAGAATAGATTTTACTTTTCTGCTTGGATACTTAGCTGCTCAGGTTCATGACTCGTAAATCTAACAACGTTGGCTACTTATAAGTTACCGAAACCTTAACGATGTGCAAGATCCAACATCGTTGTCACTCCACTTTTTGAGAAGATGCTGAGTGCAAGTGATACTGGAAAAATGGGAAAAATGGGCCGGCTGGTGCTGCCAAAGAGATGTGCAGAGGTAAACAACTATTTGCATATGCAATTACGGATTATTGTTTTCTTTTATAACTGGATGATTCATGTGGAAAGAATTGGAGATGTGACTCTCTGCTGCTTTTATCAAATATTTTATGCCTTTTGTATCATGAATATAGTAGTCATAATATGTGTAAAACTTTACAATTATCCCATAACAAGTAAAAGATGCTTAATGAACGATGCCTCTGTTATGTAACAGGCTTTCCTTCCCCCAATTTCCGACCCCGAAGGTGTGCCACTCAAAGTTCAGGACTCAATGGGTAAAGAGTGGACATTTCAGTTTCGCTTTTGCCCCAACGTCAGTAGCAGAACATATATTCTAGATGGAGTAGCTGCATGCATACAGAGCATGCAGTTGCAGGCTGGTGATACAGGTATGTACTTGGGGATATAGTAATTTGGTTTATCATGTAGCTAATGCTCAAATATATTTTATTTGGTATCATCTGCTTTTCACAATGTCACCTGTTTAATGCAGAAGTTTTATTGTTTCTCGCTCATATAACATTTTTAGTTGATATCTTTTGTCAAGCATATTACACTTCATCTGAGTTAGCGTCTTCTTGTTAGAGCTTATGCGTGGGGAACTGAATTCCATTTTTTTTAGTTATATTTAAACGACTAGATCCAGAAAGGAAGTTAATCATGGATTTCAGAAAGGCTTCAGTTGCTCAATCATCTGATCAGGTTACTTTCTAAATTAACTAGATAGTCTTTGTTTGTAAGTACTTTTGATTTACTGAAATTACAATTTTAATTTACTGGTCAATTAACGGCTAGTCTTACGATGCTTTTTCTGAATGTCAGCTGCACTTTAGAATATAGTCAACACACCAATAGGAACACTGCAATGAAGTATAACAAGTAAAAATGCAATGTTTACATCTCTAAAATTTGATCAGTTTATGTGAGTGGTTAGCTAACTTGGACAAAAGTCGAAAGTATGCAGTTCGAATTCGGTTTTGTGATCATTGCTTCTCCCGTTCGCAATTTGGGCCAGTTCTTCATATTTACTTTGAACTTCTGGACAGATGAAATGGACATTGAATAATTGATTCTGCTTGTACATGGATTTAATTTTAGAAGCAGACATTTGTGTTATTGTGAAATGGGCTTGTTTCTAGATTTCAGCAGTATATATGAGCTTGAGAAATTCATAACTGATGCATATACAAGAACATTTTGTTATTTATCAAATGTGTCTTTGCAGGAAACTGACTCAGCGAATAACATTTGTGACACTTGCACGAACGAAGATGTAAGTGTTCAAAATCCAAACTGACCTCTTTTCTTGACAAGTTAGCTTGTGTGATGAAGCATAGTGTTACATCTCTTTTTCATTCCCATTATCAGACTGAACCAGTTGATACACATTCACCATCTAAAGTTAAGAAGTCTGCGTATAGAGCAAAAGAAACTCCAGTAGAAATTTCATCCAGGAAGAAAAAAAGCAGCACGGTAATTACAAGAAGTAAACGTCGAAAAGTTGAAAAGGGAGACCTCATTGAGCTGAAGCTAACATGCAAAGAAGCTCAAGGATTGCTCCTGCCTCCTCCCAACTCCACTCCATCTATAGTGACGATAGAGGAATATGAGTTTGAGGAATATGAGGTACATCCATGTGTTTTTTGCTTTACTAATTTGCATTTGTTGTCTGTGCCTCGTTAGAATCTTGTTTTTCTTTCCTTTGCTTTATGATCTGCCAGAAATTTCTATAGTTTCTTCTTGTTTTGTTGTGTTATTACCTTCGTAATGGAGCATATCATTCATTGAGTAATTTCTTTCTATATTTATTGTGTCAAAAATAGGATGCGCCAATCATCGGCAAGCCAACAGTGTGTGCTACTAACGGTAGAGGGTAAATTGCTTATTATCAAGTCTTTTTCTTTATAGTATCTTAATAACCCCATACACCATTGCTTTCTTGGCTTTCCTCTTTGCTTTCAGTTGTTTGAAATGGTATATCTTTATCTCATATAATGTCGGTAGAATTCAAATTAGGTGTACTGATACTATTCATGGTCCGAAATTGTGCTGCCAAATATTGAAAAGCTCGTTGAATTTTCTGTTTGTTGTTGTTTTCTTTTGAATTGTGTCAGATCAACATGCTCGACAGATGAAGAACTAATGCCTGAACAGCATGATGAAGAGACCTTGGAACCTACAGCAACCACGAGACACCCACGACATAAAAGTGGCTGCCCTTGCATTGTTTGCATACAATCCCCAAGTGGGTTCGGTCCCAAACACATCCAAGGCTGTTGTTGTAAGGTCTGCAATATGAGGATCCGCCGTAGGCGTTCTTTCTCGTTACAGAGAGAAAAGAAGCTGATAGAGAGAGCCAAAAATGCACAAAAGGAAGACGAAGAATCCATGCCTGGTTCTAACAAGAGTGGAAAGACACGTAAAAACCATGAGCATAAAGCTTCGCCTTTGAAAGGACAAATAGATTTGAATTTCCAACCAGAGAAAGACGAAGAATCCATGCCTGGTTCTAACACAGCTACCAAGAACAAGTCTCTGCATCATGATGAATGCTCATTAGAGTAAAGCCACCAAGCTCATCAAGCCCCCAATTGACAAGGAAGAGGAAGGAAAACTCTAAGAAACTACAGATACACTACAAGCTCCCTGTAGATTTCGCAGACTCGTATTGCTACAAGGTGAATAGAATATGATGGCAGAAATCTGAAAGCTTCTGGTAAATTAACGTTTTGAACATTTGTAGATATAAAGAGCAGTTAGTATACTCGCAGAGTCGCAGGTAATGAAAATGGGCATTTTAATTCCCTCTCTTGGTTTCTTATAATTGGTGTTTTCATTTGTCTACCGAAGCAGATTAACATTCAACTCTAGAATGTACAAATTTTCTTTAAATACAATCATTATCAACCAAGTTAAACAACATAAAGCCAAGAGGAAACAAAGTAGAATTTAGGGGTGGG